CTGCGAAGGTCTGAAGTGGGGTTGGATCCCCTGGAACTAGAGTTGCTGGGAGCCAAGAGTGACCATATGGGTACTGGGAACAGAACTTGGGTCCTCTGCAAGAGTATCAAGTACTTTTAACCATGGAGCCATCTCTCCAGTCCCTAGAACAAGTGTTTATTTGTAATCTTTTCAAAATATAATGCAAGTTGATCATCTTATCAAAAAATCCAAGCTCTGAGATGGTTTGAGTATCATTACGGCACGCAAAGTGGAAAATTCCACACCTGATCTCATGTGGTATGTCACAGTTAAGACACACATGCATGCACACACACACTCATGCACACAAGCACGGACACACACACGCATGCACACACGCACACAGCTCCAGGCTAAGTGCACAAAATGTCAATGAAACATATAAATTCTGTTTTTAGCCTTGGGCTGTGTCCTAAAGAGGCCTCACTGTAGGCTTAAGCAAATATTCTAAACTCTGAAGAAGTCTGAAACCCTCTGGCCCCAAGCATTCTGGGTAAGGAATGATCAACCTCACTAAAAATGGATCCCAGAATGCTCCAGAAAAGTGGTTCTCAAGCTTCCTAATGCTCCAACCCTTTAACACTGTTCCTCATGTGGTGTCTGCAGATCTGTGTTCGGGCGGGACATTTCCCCACTGCCATCCGAGCAGACCTTCCTGCTGCTCTGTGTAACCTCCTCCTCCCATGGTCCAAACTCACTCCTGCCAGGACTTTCTCCTGCTAGACCATCAATCATGCTTCAGTCCGAATACCTGCTTTATGAATTCTCTTTTCATTGGTGTCTAATTACCAATATCCAGCCTCAAAAGTTTCGGTCTTGCTTATCGTATTTTTCAGTTCCAAATTTTCCCACTCTTTTCCAAAGTTTTTACTCAATGTTGTGGACACAATAAACACAGCACAGGTCCATTTCTGCAGCTTTCTGGTCTACGACTTCCTGCGTTCCTGGATTCTCATTAATTTTGTCTTTTCCATTTTAAATGTCTGGTTATTTTCACGTAAGTGCTAGACGCTGTATGTGAAAGGCAACTTGATTTAAGGCTTGAACCAAAATCGTCCCTAGAGGAACCCTGCTTTTGCTCTGGCGGGCAGACAGGAGCACCAAGAACTGGGGTCACCCTGATTCACTGCTAGACTGACAGTGTGCTGACGTGTGTCTCAGCGTTTCGACTCAGCACCCCACAGTCCCAGTTACTCTCTGGGGTCAACGCCTCCTCCTTCCCCAGCCCCTGGCTCTGCCCTTGGTATCAATGCCTCCTCCTTCCCCAGCCCCTGGCTCTGCCCTTGGGGTCAATGCCTCCTCCTTCCCCAGCCCCTGGCTCTCCCTGGGATGAGAAGCAGTGACAGTGCTGAGCACGGGACTGCTGGGGCTGGGACTGGGGCTGGGACGCACCACCGACAGGAACGAAGGCTACTCTGTGTGATCTCCTTAGGTCACAGAACCTGATGGCGTACTTTCACCTCCAGGACAGGATGTCAATGACATCACTGCTCTGTTTCAGGACAATCAACCCTGAAATTCCCAGGACCAACGGGAGAATCCTAGCTTTCCTTCTGCCAGGCTCAGCTGTACCTAGCGAGTCATAGTTTACTTCCTCCTGGAGGCCCAGTTCTCTCCTGTAGAAGAGGCTGGGTAACCCTGCTCACCTTTACTATCTGTGCTGTCGATACAGACAATGACGCCCTCTGTCCTCGGATGATAAACTGAGATCTAGTTGGGTCCATCAGAGCGGGGTCTGAATGGACTCTAGAGTCAGGTCAGGGCCGTTGGCCGCAAGAGAGACGTGAAACTCAGTGGAAGACCGGAGAGACTGCTGTCACCTGCAGTCAGACGTCATGGGTCAGGGACGACGGGGCTCACAGGCGCGCTGACCTGGTACATGAGCTTTGTGCCCCTCATTGTGTTGTCGGTCCCTCTCCAGGCTAGCGGGAGTGCTCGAAGCCCCTAACTGCAGCAACACATCAGAGCTCCCCTCACTGGCGGCCTTAACAAAAGGCGTCGATCTAGTCTCAGTCAGTAATTTCACCCCAAGCCTCCGGCGGGCTATAAGGAGTCCGGGTTTTGATCACCAGGTACAATTTCGGCTTCACAATCCAGAGGCTGGAGCTGCTCGGCTCAGGAAGCCACAGCCGTGATGATTAATATTGATCGCCAGTTTGACACGATCTGGAATCCCTGAGATGGCGTCTGCACATGTCTGTAGGGAACTTTCCAGATTGTGTTAGCTGAGATGGGAAGATCCACCCCAACTGTGGCAATACCACCCATGGCTGGGGAGCATCACCCACGGCCGGGAGCATCACCCATGGCTGGGGAGCATCACCCATGGCTGGGGAGCATCACCCATGGCTGGGGAGCATCACCCATGGCTGGGGAGCAACACCCCATGGCTGGGGAGCACCACCCATGGCTGGGGAGCAACACCCACGGCTGGGGAGCATTATCCATGGCTGGGGAGCATCACCCATGGCTGGGGAGCATCACCCATGACTGGGGAGCATCACCCACGGCTGGGGAGCAGCACCCACAGCTGGGGAGCATCACCCATGGCTGGGGAGCATCACCCATGGCTGGGGAGCATCACCCATGGCTGGGGAGCATCACCCATGGCTGGGGAGCATCACCCATGGCTGGGGAGCATCACCCATGGCTGGGGAGCATCACCCATGGCCGGGGAGCATCACCCCACGGCTGGGGAGCATCACCCATGGCTGGGGAGCATCACCCATGGCTGGGGAGCATCACTCATGGCTGGGGAGCATCACCCATGGCTGGGGAGCATCACCCATGGCTGGGGAGCATCACCCATGGCTGGGGAACAGCACCCACGGCTGGGGAGCATCACCCATGGCTGGGGAGCACCGTTCCACGGGTGGGGAGCACTACCTTGTGACTGGGGTCCTGGGATAAATAAAAAGGAGAAAGGGGACCCAAGGACCACCATCTGCCTCTTTCTGCTTTCTGAGTGTGGATGAAATGTGACCACCAGCCTTGCCTTCCTGCTCTCACGGCTTTCCCTCCTCCTGAACTGTGAGCCATAGGTTTGTCTTCTTCTCAGACATTTTAAATCAAAGCAAGAAGAGTAACAAATACAGAGGGGGAGTGTTAAGTCCTGGTAGGGGATGTGCATGAAGAACACACAGGGAAGAGGGAGCGTCCACACCTGCCTGTCCTGGTGTCTTCAGCACCAATAGGCAGGGAAGGGTGTGCGCGTGTGTCTATGTGCGTGTTTGTGTGTGCCTGTGTGCGTGTGTGTGTCTGTGTGATCCATAGGCAGGAAAAGGTGTGTGTGCGCGCATGTGTCTATGTGCGAGTTTGTGCGTGCCTGTGTGCGTGTGTGTCTATGTCTGTGTGTGCACGCGCGCGTACGTGTATGTGTATCTGTGTGCGTGTGTGTGTGCATGCCTGTGTGTCTGTGTGTGTGGTGTGGGTGTGTGCGTGTGTGTGCATGCGCGCACGTGTGGTGTGTACTAGTAATGTGTTAAGATGCTTGGCTCCCTCACGCAGGAGGACGCTTATGACCCTACTGTCCCACACTGGTGGGAAAGAATATCCTCCCAAGGTTCTGCTCCCACTTGGATACAAGAAAGATCAAAACCCAAAGTGGGTTCCTTGGCACATCTGCCCTGCTGGCTGTTCTACAAAGGGTTCCTTGGCCAGGTGGGGTTTTGGAAATGTGCAGGTTTTCTCCCACTGAGAGCCTTCAAAGGAACATTCAGTTCTGTAAGGCTCTGGGCAAATCCACATAAAGGAATGTGGTTATCTTTGTTCAACTAACTTCAGGCCTTGTAGGCATTTCCTGGGAGAGCCCCCATGCAGTGGCCCAGCCCGAGACTGCCTTAAACTGCACTGATTAGGGAACCACGCGCAGTTTGAGGGACCCACCTGTCCTGCTCTCCTCTCTAGTTGTTTGGGTTTTCTCAGTGTCTCCCTACTGCAGGCACCCCAGCTTGCAGGTTCTCTGCTAGTCCCAGCTCTGTTGCTTTGAGGCTGATGCAGCCATCTGGGCTTCCCAGCACAAACAACGAAACAGAGAGGATGTGGGGCATCATGGGAACTTCTTGTCAGACTGCTGGACAGTGCGCGAGAAGAGTGATCTCAGGAGCAGGACGGGGAGGTGCCCTTGCGGCTCCATGCCCCATTTATCTCCCGGGGATACAGCTGGGGGAAGGAGACGGTGCACAGACTGCAGACATCACAGGAGAACTCCCCATCTCTTTACCTTCCTGACCTTCCATTAGCTGACCCACTCCCTCCTCCACTGTTTCCTTTCCCCTCTCTCTAGCCCTCTATCCTTTCCCAGCTCCACCTTTTTTCTCTCTGTCTCTTCTTCCCTCCATCTTATACCACCCTCCTCGCTTACCCCTCCCCTCCTCATCCACCCACTCTCTCTCCCCCTCCTCATTTATACATTCCTCTCCTCCTCCTTATCTACCCCTCCCCTCCCCTCCTCATTTGCCCATCCCTCTCAGCTGTCTCCTCTTCTTTCTCCCCTTCTCCCCCATCCCACTTTCTTCCTCTCTGTTGTCCTCTCTCCTTTTTGTCTTGCCCTCCATCTCTCCGTAGCTCTGAATTAGTCCTACCCTGGTTCCCCAGCCTCGTGGTTGATCTGCTTTGCTTGCCAACTCCCCTAGCCTTGAAAACTCCCAGAGAGCCCCGGCTGCAGACAGCACTTGTAGCTTACAGGGCAGGGGGAAGTGTGAGTGACTCATTCAAAAGGCAACGGAGAGGGTCACAGTGGTGGCAGTTTAGTAGACTGAGCTCAGGGCCTGGTGTACCTCTCAGATGCCCCACCTACAAGGGTGACTCTAACACTTCAGAACGGTGGAGGCAGGGGTGATGCCACGCCTTTGATGGGCACAGACAAAGCACTGTCATTCCTGATCTAGGAGTCAGGGAAAGGCTCTGCCTGGGACCCTAGGGGAGGGGACACCTGGGCTCTGGACCCAGGCTTTCCTGCTTGTGCTGCCTCCTCTTACCTTGTGTCCAGAGTGTGGGGATGAAGTCTGGGCTACCAGCAGCCGCACCATGGCGTCCCACTGCTCAGCAGTCTGGCGTTCCCGCGCCGTCACAGTGAAGGCCACCTGCTCTGAGGGGATCTTCAGCTCCCGGGTGGCGAAGACAGTCCCATCCGCCCCGACTTTGAAGTCCAAGCTGTTGGTCTCATACTGCGTCCCTTTGGTACCCAAGCAGCTGCTGAACTTGACTGTAAGAGGAGAGAAGATGGTCAGGAAGGCCAGGAAGCAGGCTGCAACAACAGGTACAGCATGTGCTCCCCAAGTAGCCCTGAGACCATAAAGACCTCACTAGGCAGGCTCTCCTTTGTCCTCCAGAAGTAGCTTGAGATCAGGAAAAACGATGGATGAGCATCCCACCCTCAAACCCAGGTGGATGTCATCCACTCCTGCCACGGTTTCTGCATGCCCTGTGCGGCTCAGTGGGAGCAGGAGTCGCCACCCACACAGGAAGACTCCCACCAGTCTCTGCCTGTGCAGTGTAGATGCCCAGTTCTTTGGCTCTGTTTCTGTGCCCGAGAAGGCTAAGTGTAATAAAGGAGCCGGAGAAAGCTGGTGTGTCAGGGCTGTCCCTCCACAACAGGAACATTCTGGAAATGGGATCTGCATGGCTGGCCCTTCTGTGACTTAGTGACATCTGACACTTGTCAGGCACCTGTGTCCTACTGGGGGCAGAGGCAGGATGACAGGCTTGGCTCAGTCACAGACTTTCTTGGTTAGTCACACAGTTAACAAAACCCGTTGACGCTGTTGGGTACCGCGTCGTTTTGCTTCCAAAACATTAATTAGGCAACCAAATTGTCAGCCCCTCCCGATGCCCCAGAGCTGCAGCCACTTCCAACTCCACTGCAGAGAGAGACGTCTCCAGGACTGCATATTCGTCTGGCCCACGTTAGTGCATTTTTTAGACACGTGCTTTTGTGACTGTCACCCAACTCCGTGGTAAATTATGAAGCACCAACAGCTGGTGTCACATTCTGCTGATAAAAGCAATGGATAAAGTTACCCAGTATTTATAAAAATGTGGGTATCTAAGCAATTATGGTGGGAGGGTTGGTTTTATAAGCAATTTCACTGTCACAGCTTACATGATTTAATTACTATTTATTCTAGAAACTAAAAAAAGGGACTTGCACTTACATTTGATAAAGTGTTTTTCCTGCATGTTCACCTTTTCTTGTTGCCTGCCTTGAAATTATAAATAACACGTGGGTTCCCTTGTCTCAGATCACTCACTAGAGACGTCTCCCCAGTCGCTGGTTCCTCCTGCTTGCGGGCTTAATGAATATGCTTTTATTTTATTATTATTATTAATAATTATTAATATTTTTGAGACAGGTTCTCTGTACATAGCCCTGGCTATCCTGGAACTCTCTTTGTACACCTGTGGCTTTGAATTCAGAGATCTGCCTGCCTCTGCCTTCCAAGAGCTAGGATTAAAGATGTTCGCCATTATGCCTGACTAGAAAATGTTTTTAAATATAACAAGACCAGGCATTTCTGCTCTGTCAGGTGACAGAGCGGTCAGTGTTGAGAACCTGGCTGGGTCTCCTGAGGATCAGGGTGTGTCCCTGTGACTAAGCATCCTTGAAGCTGGAATTAGGCGGTTTGCACTATATGAGGGCTAAGGCAACACTTTCCTCTGTCAAAGGGTCTGGGTCCTCAAATAACTCGATATCATTATAACTTTATTGTATTGTAGGCTTGACTCTGCCCAGCGTAGACTGGTGAGACCGCTCACTGGATGAAGGAACCGCCATGAAGCCCGAAGACTTGAGTTTGGTCCCTGGCATCCATAGGTCCGAAGGACAGAACCGACTCCCGCAAGCTGTTTCCTGACTGGCACCGCAGCCTGTGCTGCCCCTCCCAAAAACAAACAAGCAAATTCATGAACAAATGTAGTAAAATCAGAATGCAGAGCCCAGGGGACTGCTCTCCACCTGGGGGCAGCTTGCTCTGGAGGGCTTTACCAAATGAACTCCTGCAGCCTATCTGCATCTCCTAACTGAATTCTTCCTCTCCAGACAACAACAAGGACTGCAGGTCCCTGTTTCTTCCTCTCCAGATGACAAGGACTGCAGGTCCCCATTTCTCTGGGGGACCAAAGGGTTGGGTTGTGGCTCCCTGGCACTGTTTACTTTTCCACGGATGAACAAACCGTTTTTTCTTTTCTGTTTTCAAATGTAAAGATATTAGCAAACTGCCTCAGACATATACAAATTAAAACTAGCAACAGATCGAGTGGACCCATTGCTGACCCCCAACTGTTACCAACAGAGATAAGAATGACAGTGGCTGGGCTGTGATATGATCAGGTACAAAATACCAAGATAAGCCCCCGTGTGTTCTAAAAGCCAATTCCTAGTAAAATCAAAGAAACTTGACAACACAGGGGACTGACGTCTTAACCCCTCCATGGGTGGTGGCAGGGAACTCTGTGGAGTGGTGGGGGACGCGGGGAGGTGATGAAGAAAGCCCTTTGGGCTGCAGCAGGGCACGGATCACGGATTCCAGCAGGCACTGGAGTCCTGTGTGCTCTGTGCGACCCTGTGTGTGAAGAACAAACTGCAGGTTCAGTTACAGTTAAAGGAACAGCTGCAGCCAGCGTGGCCAGGCTAGAAGGCAGTGCAGAGAGTCCACTGACGCAAAGGACCTGTGGTCAGTAGAGCCCATGCTGCACCGAATCCCTGCAGCCTGCTTCAGGGCCAAGCCATCACAAATACCTTCTTCTCTTCCATGTTAGAACTTTTTAATTTTTTTATCTTTTGAGATAAGGTCTCACTATTTAGCCCAACCTGGTGACAAACACACAGAGATGCGCTTGCTTCAGCCCCCCGAGTGTTGGCATTACGGGTGTGTACTACTGAGCGCTGCACCTGACTTCAGGACACTTTGATAATCTAAGGCTCAAGCAGTAAAGCGCGCAGCAAGCTGATGTCCTTGGGCTGCTGCTGGCATCGTGTGCAACTCCTAAGTTACACCAGGGGCCAAACCTCACCAGTCAGAGCGCCTTTCAAAGCCCTGTTGTGTAGAAGTGGCTCCCACAGTCACCAGCTCCGAAACCCGGCAGTCTAGCGCTCCCTGAACACGAACGCACAGCCCTCATCACGGGTCCTCAACAGCTGAGCACCATTTCTCTTCCAGACGGGTTCAGATCCCTTTGTTTAAAATGCTACCCTACACCTCTCCCGTGCCCGCAAACCCAGCAGCACAGGTGCAGCCATGCTTGCAGACACGTCTGCAGATGCATCCAGTGCACCATGCATCCCAGTCACCTTGCGCAGCAGAAGGAAGCTCTGCTCTTATCAGGAGGCTGGCTGTCTTTAACCCTTCGCCCTCGTCACTTTTAATTGCTGGCTCTTTGGGTGGAGCTGGGGTGGCACATGCTTGCAGGTGGCCTGGCATTCACGGGGGCAGCAGACTGCATCTCCTCAACACAGAGTGCTGCAGAATTGTGCTGTGTCTGCGAACATCTTGTTTTATTATTTCCCTTATTAGGTGAGTTGGGAAAGATCAACCGAGCTGGAGGGGAGCGTGTGGCTGGATCCATGCCGAGGGATGCACGAGCTTCACGCCTGCTGTTCAGCTCTCAGAGCCAGCCATTCTCGCTCCTTCAGCCCGCCCTCCCACGATGGCTCAGGGTCTCCCTACCATCCAGCCAGGGTTCTAGGTGTGAACAGGCAGACTCTGAAGGTTGCCCAGGTGGATCTTGGTGTGCCGAGGAGAACATACGGACGAGCCAGAGTGTAAACAAAACCTTGGTGGCCAGGACAACGAGGAGGTCAGAGGGGGGCAGCACAGAGGCAGTGTTTGTCTCTCCTCAGTGTCAGAGGAACTGTCCTGAGAAGGGACAGCAGAGCAAAGGCTCTGAGATGGGGAGGATCACGGAAGGTGCTTCTTGAGTGTGATGAGTGGGGGTGACCTTGTGGATGTGCGGTTACGTGAACTGTTGCTACTGGCGATAAGGCACCCACTGGGAACGATCAACGCTCTTTCTCAATGAGACTTGAACAGTTAGCCCGGCATGGGTCACGTACTGCTGGCCCCACCCCGGCTTGGTTTTCTTCCACCTGCATCTTTGTCTTGTACCTGTTGGGATGTGTGGCCAGAACACCCATCATTAGCCGTGTGCAGCTGGGGAATGGTGAAGTCAGAGCCCAGCACCCATTAGCAGGCTCTCTGTCCGCAGCTTGCTCTAGCCTGCATCCCTGGCTCCCAGGTGCAGGTCCATGCAGAGATGGGGCTCCCTCCTTCTGTGCTGAGATGTCTGAGGGCAGCGAGGCATACTGATGCCCTGGAATGCCAAGTCACTGGGCACAGAGTCTCCTCAGATCGGAGAAGCAGGGGGGTTGGGGACAGAATTCTGTTGGGTTTTGTTACAAGGGGTCTGGTGGAGTAGAGCTAAGGTTATTATTGGGGCAGAGGTTGCTTCTCTGATTCCCACCAACCTAGCCTGGAAATGGATAGGGTGTCATTGGAGCTGCAGGCAGGCTTCTGGGGCCCCTGCATGGATCTGATTTGAGAATTCCTTCCCAGGAGATGGATCTACCCACTCCTTACGAAGCCCCAGTGACAAACTACAGTATCATTCCACCAAACTGGGGACCAGTGAGTTGGGTTTGCTCACGGAACATGGGTGATGGCTTTTCTGTAGACTCTGGGTGGCCTCAAAAGAGCCACACTGGAAAACTTTTACCCAGCATAGATAGAGAACCCAGGCTAGAGAGATGGCTTAGTAGTTAGGAGCACTGGTTGTTCTTCCAAAGGTCCTGAGTTCAATTCCCAGCAACCACATGGTGGCTCACAACTCTCTGTAATGAGAACTGGTGCCCTCTTGAGGAAGAGACCTGGTCAATCGTCCTCATCAACTTAGAGCAGGAAACCCAATATGGACAAGTTCAACAGACCACCATATATGAGCTGCCCATCCATGCTTCAGCATTGCCAGGGCATAAATTTCATTTAAATTTTAATTTCAGACGGAGAAGCCACTCCCACCTGTTCACCTTCCCCAGCCTATTATTCTAGCAGTGCCTGAGACCCCAAGGCCATGGGCACCTAGGGTAGAAGTACATACAGATGGAAGGGCAGGGCAGAAGGAATCTGCCAGAATCTCAGGTGGGGGTCCCACAACCTCCCCGCCCTGCCTTTCCTGTCGGAGCGTCAACAGCCAACAGATCCCTCTCACGAT